ATATGTCCGGTGGTGCTTCTTCCATCATCCGGATCCACATTGTGACTGCTGTCACTAAAACCAACGATCTTCTTTGTTCCTCCATGATAGAATTTCAAGCCAAACGTGACTCTCCCTTTAAGATACCGTAGAATGTGCCTCATGATGTTGCCATGCGACTTGCGAGGACTCTGCATATACCTGCTAGCAACTCCAACAGAAAAAGCCAAGTCTGGTCGTGTGTGTAACAGATACCTTAAGCACCCTACATTCCTTCTATAACACGTAGGATCGATCTCTTCTTCTTCTTGAGCCTTTGAAACCTTTAATCGAATTCCATGGGTATTAAAGTCGGATTGCAGGTCTCTAAGCCCGCCTCTGCTAAGATCCTTCGTGCATAGCCTTCTTGCTTGATTTCGATTCCATCCTTCCCTTGATGAACCTCGATGGCAAGGTAATAAGTCAGCATTCCAAGGTCTGACATCTCGAACTTAGTTGCCACTCTTGTCTTGAATTCACTTATAACCTTCAGAGTGTTGCTTGTGACAAACAAATCATCCACATATATAGCAACAATCAATAATGATCCTCCTTCTTCTCTGCGATACACTGAACTTTCCTTGGAGCATCTTATGAACTTCATTCCTTTCAGGATTTGATCTAACTTCGTGTTCCAAGCTCGAGGAGCTTGCCTTAGACCGTATAAAGCTTTTGAAAGCTTGTATACCTTCTGTTCTTGCCCTTTTATCTCAAATCCTTCAGGCTGTTCAACATAGACGTCTTCTTTTAATTCTCCATGTAAGAATGCTGTCTTCACGTCTAAGTGATGAATCTCCCATCCATGTGATGCTGCCAATGCTATCAACAGTCTTATGGTTTCTAATCTTGCAACTGGTGCAAATACCTCATCAAAATCGATGCCTGATTCTTGTACATATCCTTTAGCCACAAGTCTCGCCTTATACTTGTTGATAGTACCATCTGCATTCTTCTTGATCTTAAAAACCCACTTGAGACCAATGATCTTTGCCTCCCTTGGTTTGTCGATTAAAAACCATGTCTTGTTTTTGTTGATAGACTCTATCGCCTCTCTACATGCTTGCCTCCACTTTAATGAACCTTTCGCGTCCTTAAAGTTCTTTGGCTCATCATCTATTGAGAGTAGCAGTCTCTCACACTCAATCGCTGCTTGTAAGACAAAGTCATCCAGATACCCTAGCTTGCGTATCGGACGAGATGATCTTCAAAGCGGCTGCTCTGTATCAGCTTCGTTAGGTGGATCTTCTTCTGCATTATGATCTGCTTCAGGTTCGTTGGTGTCGCTCGACACCGCTGATGGTGTCGCTCGACACTCTTGTTCATTAGTGTCGCTCGACACTGCTGTTGGTGTCGCTTGACGCTCTTCAATTCCTTCACCTTCAGCATCATAACCGATTACTGCAGGTCCTTCTCCTGCATCAATAATTTCACCCCATCTCATCTGAAACATCCCTGGATCCCCTCCTGATCCATCTCTTGGCTTGTTCCAGTTCCAGCTTGCCTTTTCATCGAAAACCACATCTCGGCTCACTACAATTCTCCTTGTCTCTGGATTATAGAGTCTGTACGCCTTAGATCCTGGCTCAATCCCAAGGTGTACGAGCATATGTGACCTATCATCCAACTTCTTAAGATTTGCAGCTTCCACCTTTGAGTATGCAAGACACCCAAATACTCGTAGATGCCCTAAACTTGGTTTTTTCTCTCGCAAGCATTCATAAGGAGTCATGTTCTTAAGAGCTCTTGTAGGTACTCTGTTGATTACATATGTGGCGTGTCGAACTGCTTCTCCCCACAAGTAGTTAGGTACCTTCATAGCCTTAAGAGTGCTCCTAGTCATCTCCATTAGGGTTCGGTTTCTCCTCTCTACAACACCGTTTTGCTGTGGTGTGTAAGGAGCTGTGAGATGCCTCTTGATCCCCTTTGATTCGCAGAACTCATAGAACTCCCTTGAGGTAAACTCTCCTCCTCTGTCTGTTCTAAGAGTCAATACTGCTCTTCCAAGCTCCTTTTCAACTAGCTCCTTGAACACCTTGAACTTCCCAAACGCCTCACTCTTCTCCTTTAACAAGATCGACCACATGTATCTTGTAAAGTCATCTATGATAACAAATATGTATTTGTTACCTGCGATGGTTAGTGGCGAAATCGGACCACACAGATCTGCGTGTAGAAGTTCCAATGATCTTGAAGCTCTGAACATTGTTGTCTTAGGGAAACCTTGTCGAGTCTGTTTTCCGACTAAACATGACTCACACAATCCCTTTTCATCTCGAATCTCTGGTAGATCATAGGCCATCGCCTGTTGTGACATAGCTTTCATGGTCTTAAAGCTTATATGTCCCAACCTTGCATGCCATCTCCAAGTCTCATCCTCTATCCTTGTGTTTAGACATATCGGCTTTCCAATCTTCAGGTTGACTTTGTAAAGTCTGTTGGGCGACCGTATGACCTTCACCAAGAGTCTTCCACTTGGGTCATGAAGAGTCAAGTAATCCTGCCTCATTCTGACATCACATCCGGCTTCAGTAGCTTGCCCCAGACTCAGAATATTGCTCTTCAGTTCGGGTATATAGTAGATATCTGATACGAGTTTCTGCTCATCTGTTTTGCTTTGAAACAGAATCGATCCTTTTCCAGCTATTCCCACGCACGAGCCATCTCCAAACTTCACTTTGCCCCTTATGTTTTTGTTGAGCTCAGAGAAGAATGCCTTGTTGCCCGTCATGTGATTACTTGCTCCATTATCTAGATACCAAAGTCCTTCTTCACCTCCTTTGTTTTCATAGTTCTTTGGTATTAGATTCTCCTCATTCAAAAACACCAGCTCATGCATATAAAGTGCTTCATCAGCTTCTTCTGCCTCCACTTTATTTGCTTCATGTGTCTTTTGTGGTCGATCAGGACAGGAAGATGCAAAGTGTCCAGCTTTATCACATCGATAACAAATCACCTTGGACCGATCCTTCTTGTCTTTTGGTTGGTTCTGATTTGTTGATCGATCTTGTGAGCTAGACCCTCCTCTGCCTTGTCCTCTGTTTCCTCTGCCTCCTCTGCCACATCCTCTCCCTCTCGAACTGGAACTACTTTGCTCCGAGTTTGCGTATAGCAGCTTCCCTTGCGTATAGCAGCTTCCTTTGCGTATCTCCTTGATTCTCCTCATCGCAAATCCTTTCCTCATACGCCTTAAGCCTTCCTACTATATCTTCGTAACTCGTCGTCTTTAGATCCAACACTTGCTCGAGAGAGGCGATGATGTGAATGAACTTGCTCCTTGGCAAACTGTTGAGAAACTTCGTCACAAGCTTCGATTCATCGATGGTTTGCCCTAGAGAAGCCGATTTTGAGGCTAGCTCAGATAACTTCCCTGCGAAGTCATCTATCTTGTCCGACTCGTTCATCTTGATCCTCTCGAAATCAGACATTAGGGTTTGAAGCCTTGCTTCCTTGACACGATCGGCTCCTAGGTTGTGTGATTTGATCGCATCCCATATCCCTTTAGGAGATCCTTGTTCGCCGACTTGCAGAATAAGAACTTCCGGGATTGATTGAAAGAGAAGTCCTGTTGCGATATCGTTCTTGTTGGAATCTGTTGAACCAGGTTCGATCGTCTCCCACACCTTATGGATTCGCAGTAGAACTCTCATCCTCATAGCCCACACCGTGTAATTTGTCGCGGTTAACATAGGGCACTGGATTGCAGAAGGAACGCCTTCCTTCGCGTTAGGGTTAGGGTTTGCAACGATATCTCCCATGCTTGGATATATCGCAGGTCTCAAGCTTCGCCTTAAGCTCTGATACCAATTCAAGTGATTAAGTCAAGAAAAAACTCTGTTTATAAAGAATAACTCTCTTTATTATGTTTAGAAAATCTCTCAAAACTAAACACCAAAGTATGTATCTCTCATTGATGCAACTTCATCAATGACTTACATATATATAGTGTTAGGACAACTTCCCTAAACACCTTTTCCTTTTTCTATTAGAACTAGATAACTCCTAATCTAATAAGAAAATATTCCAAAACCCTATCTAATTAACTTAACCGACTTGTTAAGCAATATGGGCTTTGGCTTTAATGTCGATGCTTACTCAACATGTATGCTCTGGCTAGCGATCAAGAACAGATTAGCCACAGGGGACATAATCAAAAACTGGAACCAGAATGCAACCACCAGTTGTGTCTTCTGCAGCGAACCAATTGAAACGAGGGATCATTTGTTTTTCATGTGCCCTTACTCGAAGGAAGTGTGGAGGAAGTTAACACAAGGGATATTAATGGCAATGGAATCAGGTTCTCCACTTAATCGTGAAACCTGGGGACACTAGGACGACTAGCTTCCTTGTTAGATATGCTTTCCAAATAGCAGTTCACTCCATCTGGAGAGAAAGAAATAGTCGGAAGCATAGAGGAAACCCGTTAACAGCAAACAGCCTGGTGAAAAATTTGGACCAAAACATCAGGAACCAACTAAGGAGGAGTGGGGATATGCGTTACGAAGACGGCCTAAGGACTTGGTTCTCAACGAGAGTCGACTAAGATCTGAAAGTGTAGAGGATTAGAATTCTTTCTTTTTAAGTTTTCATGGAGAAGTTGTAGAAAACGTTATTTTTTTTCTTTGAATATAATTTAACATTTTATTAAAAAAAAAGTTAAATGTATTATGTAATTTTAGCTAAGTCATATGTATTATGTAATATTCGACCAGAAAATGTACTAGTAAATATAATAATAATCTAAAATTTTGGTTAAATCAAATTTTTCATTTTGTTAAATTAAATTACAAAATTACCAAATTTATTCAAAATTGAACCGAATCAAACCAAGAAACAATTATTTTAAATTTGGTCCTTTTTTCTAGAACCGAACCATTGTAGATCCGAATTACCCAAACCGAACCGACTTGAATTGACGATGAGCAGACCTTGACCGTGTGTTATCGAGATTAGATAATGAGTGGTATGGTTTTATAATAAAACCTAAAGCAAAGGGGAATTAAAATACGTCTTCTATATAATAAAAACACACGCCTAGAGAGATCGAAAATATTTCTCAGCCGCAGCTTACGAAAACGTTGATCCAAATCGAAAGGGAGAAAGAATAATTTGCGAGTCGTATCTCTTAATTTCAGACTTTGATCGCTTCTTAGTGGTGAGCCCTCGTGTTCTATGCTATCTAATTCATCTCTTAGCTCTAGATTTGTAGGGTTTTCTATTCGTTAGGAATCAGTAAATTTCGTCGGCGGCGAAACTTCATCTGTATCTCCGATCAATTATTGATCAGAAAATGATTGTCCTCTGGCTTGATTCGTGAAAGTTGTTGACTTTGTTTGAAATATCGCTTAATCCGAATTCAATTTACGTTTTTTCTATTTGTTTGGAAAACCCTAGATGGGTATCTTCGATTTCTTCAGGAAAAGCTTGACCTTTATGGGTTTTCCATTATTAAAATCTAGACTATGTATTGAATCTTTGAGTTTTGTTTAGTCGTTGCTTGAAATTGATTAGAAGCCATGACTGTTTTAGGTCTCTGCTTTTGTTTTAGTTTCAGAGTCTTTTGTAGTGAATAGTGTATCTTGAACTGAACAATCTGTTTTGTTATCGCAGTTACAATGCCGAAGAACAAGGGAAAGGGAGGAAAGAACAGGAAGAGAGGAAAGAACGAAGCAGACGACGAGAAGCGAGAGCTTATATTCAAGGAAGATGGACAAGAATACGCACAAGTCCTTCGTATGCTTGGCAATGGAAGATGTGAATCTATGTGCATTGATGGCACTAAACGTCTCTGCCATATTCGTGGCAAGATGCACAAGAAGGTTTGGATCGCAGCAGGAGACATCATACTCGTTGGTCTGAGGGATTACCAAGACGACAAAGCCGATGTGATCCTCAAGTACATGTCTGATGAGGCCAGGCTTCTCAAGGCGTATGGTGAGCTTCCAGAGAACACTCGTCTCAACGAAGGTATCGTTGGTGATCTTGATGAAGATGATGATAATGCGGCTGATGACTATGTTGAGTTTGAGGACGAAGATATCGATAGGATCTAAGCACCTTGTTTGGTTTTTTGTTTTACCTTTTCCGGCTTGTATTTTCAGTTTGAGAACATTACTGTTGCAAGATATTTTACAACTATTATGTATTTTGTTCTCCAATATCTCTTCTTCTTTGCCTCTGTGTTCTTGTTGCATAATTCGTCTGTGGGTTGCTGTTCTTGATTTCTTTTCCTCTGTCAAAAAGCTTCACATAGGAGCAATCTGTTGCATTGATTCATGGAGGACTTAGTGATTGGGAATTGGGAATTAAAAAAGGGAGAAAAACGATTTGATCCCATAGATGATACATACTAGCACAATGGAAGGTTAAGTTAGACTAAAGTGGGAACCAAAATACAGAATCTATTCGACTGAAAAGAGAAAATTATATACTTCTCTTGCAGAATACGAATATACGAAAGATGTTTCTATTAAACTCTCAGAAGAACAAGATTATCTAAAAAGTAATCAACTTCCGGGACTCGAATCTAATCTCCGCCTTCACTTTCCTGATGAATTCCTCACATTTTTTGTTCAAATCTTCCGAACTTAACAAACTACCATCTATCTCTGCATCCGCATCATCATCATCATTATCGGCACCATCATGATCATTATCATCGATTCTCATGATTGCAAGGTCTTGTACTATTATACCCTCATCATCCTCAACAAGCAATGTAACTTCTTCTCCTCTTAGTAAATCAACCCTTTCTTCTTCTTCTTCTTTGGAAGCACTCTTTTCTCCAAATACTGCCACTACTTTATTCACTTTTGATTCTCTCATGTCTTTGATAACTACTTCTTTCGTTTCGTCGACGATGTTAATGGCTTTACTGTGCAAAAGGGTTTCGGAACTCCCCCGGAAATTCCCCAAAATGAAGCCCACAATACCATTGCATAACAAGAACATGTATTTCTTGTCCACAAGGTTGCTATACATGGAAAGCAAATGGAGTCTTTGTTGAAGAGAGGAGATTAAGGAAGAGTAAGATAGTATGAAAGAGAAAATGGATGCCAAGGCTATGATCCTAGTGAATCTCTTCATCTTCTTCACCTCTCTTTCTTGTTTTTGAAATTCCATCCTCTCTCTCTCTCCCCTTTAAAGTGAGTTAAAGAATGGTGAATGAGGACCAAGTTTGAGGAAACCATTTATTTTTATAGATTAGTGGGTGGGTTGTGCTTGGTTTCATAATTTTAATTCTTTTGCTTTTAGTATACAATATATATCTTCTCTTTTGAGTTATTCAAACCAAACTAATTTTTGTCTTTTTCTTTTATTCGTTTAATTTTTCTGATTAAATCTAGGAGTTAATCTTTAGTTAGCTCCTGTTTATTAATAATATAGGAATCAGTTGTCATTGAATTTTTTCATTAACACTAATTATGTTAGATTTGGACTCGGATACTGCATGACCGACATTAATATAAATGATTATACTACAAATTGTGAGTTTTCTTTTCTGAATCCTTATATATATAAAAAAAAGCGTTGAAGTATATATAAAGATTATTTATTCGAATGTTCCATCTCAAAGAATCTCTTTACGTGTTGACAAAAAAAAAAAGAGAAAAAAGAAGTTCTTTACATATTCTGCTGTATCTGATCTAATTATACGGTCAATTATTTGTGGAAGTGGTCGTATAGCTTTCAAGTTTCTACTTCTAGATGCGTAGCTTAATTCTACTTATAAGTTATAACATTTTATCTTTTTGAAAAATATCTTAAAATTCATTTTTTGTTCTCGCACTAAAGCATCCTGATTGTCAATTTTATAAACAAATGATTATCAAAATTATATAGCATTTTTGACAAATCAATTTATATAATTTTCTTAGACTCATTTATATTTATCAGAATTACCTTTTACATTTAAAATTATATAAACCCATCTAAATGATAAATTAAAAATTTAAAAATTTGGTAATTTATTTCTTATAGTTGTAATTGTGATAATTTTATGTAAATCTCATTTTATTCTTCCTAATATGTAGTTACAACCGAGCTGATTTTTAGAGTATATATGTTAAAGTTGTATACGATCGAAACCAAAATAATACAGTTTATCCATATTTTATGATTCTTTTGCTAATAACATATATTATACGATTTTAAATTTGGATGATGAACTGATGATACAACTACAACATTAGCATAAATTATCAGATTACAAGTATTGGTTTGACTATATTATGATTTTAATATTTAAAACTTGAATATGATCTCTAATATTTTTTTAGTATTATTATTGAACCGAGTTTGAGTACAATCTAGTGCAAATGCCAAACTTTATTTACACGGTGTAAGTTGTGACCGGCTCCAATATGGAACTACGTCTAATCATACGAAACAGAATGAAGTCAAGTCAACTTATCACCTTCGACGTAAATTCTTGATTGGGCTTCTTTTGTTTTGTTTGGAAAGGTCACTAAATACGCCAAAACTAAAAGACCATTGACTTGATAAACTAAAGGCCATTGACTATGAATGTCGATGTTGTTATTCCCTCTTTGTTACGACCATTTCTTTTTTTTTTTTTAAAGAAAAAAAAAATATATATATTGATAAATAAACAAAAAAAAAAGAAAATTCAATAGATTGGGCCTCAAAAGTTATCTATGGCCCATGAAAATATGTAAATGAGTCAATGTGTTAATTACGGCTTCCAAAGGCTTAAGGTCCGACCACGGCTCAGAGAAAGTTGATATTCCAACTTTTAGAGCTGAGAAGAAGGCATGCATATAGATAAAAATGGAGCATGTTACATGCTGCGTGTAGGATTTAAGAATATATTTCACGTCTACATATCAACAAACTTCAAAAGAAAATATGCAGAAATATCACAAACTTGTAGTTTATGAGAGATAAATAATTTGGCTTTTAGAATGTCTTTAGTTTTGGTAAACAAATACAAAAGAGCTAATGATGTTGTCTAGGTATGTTCTCATCTTCACTTCTTACTTTGGAAATGGATTTCACGGGCACATCCAACATATTTTCGAACAAAGTGTTATGATTAGACTTTTTTCCAACATATTTTCTTTTTATTAGGGTAGTTAAACCCGGCCGTGTGTCTAGCTAGGGTTTTCAAATCGCTATTCAAAATATGTCTAGTATGTTTGACGGCAACATCTTTTTGTTTATTCTCCAGACACATTACGGTTCAGAGAGGTTTATGCTTCTTTATTTGTGAAAGTGTATTGACAAAGAAAAGAGTGATATGATAGTCTTGGATTTCATCGTTCCCTATAACAAGTTAGCTTCCGTAAGATCCCAGCTACAGATATGATTCTTTATAAAAAGGTTTTCTAGCCACCATCCAAGTAATAGAAGAGAACCATATGTAGTATCTTTAAGTAGACGTATTACCTCTTGTTTAATTTGGATCAAAACCATACATACTCGCGTTTAGGCGAATCATAGAACCTAGTATTTACTATATTTTGGACGAAACTTTCAGCCTTTGTGAAATATTTTTTTAGGCAAGTCATGTAACAACGAATACTTGGGTTTCTTAGACCAAATTTCTAGGTGTTAAAGCCCACAAATATGTTTGTTCTAAGTGGGAATATGCTAAAAAGTAATCGGACACTAGATTGGTCCGACAGTCTTTCCTACTAATTCACTGGATATTATCTCTTAGTTTCTACTGCAATAAAACAATTTGAGATTGTAATATAAAATATTCGAAATTCAGAGGACCAAGGTCACACTACGATTCTACGAGGAGTGAAACAAAGTTAAGACAAGATATGATTTGATCAAAACCTGGTAACACGCAAAAGAAAGTAAACAACGATTTAAACTTGATTAAAACAAACACTAGACTAAGGCAATTTGCAGGAGTTTCAGAGATAGAAATCAAATGGCTATTCAGGGCACATATTAAATGTAAGTCTCGAACTCAAATATAAATGCATATCGATCCACTGTCGTGGCACTGATAACTTTATCTAGCGACCTAAATTCTAAACTATCGTTTGAATATAGAATATCACAGACAAACATTAACAAGCATTTGATTTGTTCACGATCGGCCTTAACATCAACTGACTTTGGTTAAGCACGAATCGCTCACCAAAGTTTTTTCTAGCCACCTATTACACTTTTGATGAACAGATTAACCTAAAATCGTAGATTGAGTGATAATTCAACCTAAACATTAAGACTAACAATGGTGAAGACTATCGATATTTGCATTCAATTTACTAACTCATAAAATCCATTGAAAACCTTAATCTAGCAAATAAAACTACTCAGACATGGCAAAAAGAACAATTGAAAAGAAATTCATGAATGAAACTTTATAAATGACAAAAGGGTTCAAAATTCTTCTCATGTGCAGCAGGAATTCTTCTCCCAAATCTTACAAAGCTAATACTCCAAAAAGTCTAGAAAATGTAAAAAAACGCCTGATGATCAAATTAGGCGGCTCATGTCTTTTATTCTCATTCCTTCGCTTTGTAGAACTAGGTAAAACTAGTTTCCTTATTTTTCTCAGAGGTTGGAGCAAGTGCTCCATGAAAGGAGTTAGTCGGGAGCACCTACTAAGGATGGTCCATCTGCATATGAATTGAGCTCTTTTGCTCAGCTTCAACTCTTTTTTGCTCCAAAAGTTTCAGCTGCTCTAATCCTCGACTAGAGCCTCCTAGTTACCTGAAATGACCTGACAAAGACTCCAAAAACACTAAAAAGATTATCAAATACGGGTTAGAATGAGTACCTAGCTATACATAGTTTCGATTGCACATATTTAATCTTGCTCGACTGTTTTTATAAACGATAATATATCATACCAAAAGTGAAAAGAACAAGAGGCTGCATTAACATGCTCACAACTCGGTGATTTAAATCACGGACTTAATTGATAAATCACTTTTGCATCGTATCATTGTGAATTTGTGAGAGTTGACAAGCATACTTTGCCAAGTCTAATGTAAACGCAAATAAAGCTACCTTCAACTAAAAATATAATTAGAGCTTTGCATTGCTAAACACATCACGCAAATCATTTACTGATTTACGACATATATACAACATAGTTTGTTCTCGTGGATCTCTTTTTTTTTTAATCGGAAATTCTTTCGAACTCTTTCAAAAACAATTGCAACAACGAAGCAGATGTTTAAAGGGTATTGACATTAACTACAAGAAAATATTTTGAGTTCCAACCGTCGGAATTTTGCGGTTTTGTAGAGATATCTCATAATAAATCTTTGGCATACAAGAGCTATTCGACTCAAGTCCCACACTATATAAGTTATGTATCAATATCATTACTTTTGTTGATTTGTTTCCTAGATACATTTTCCTAATCGTTGAGAAATTAAGAGTTTTCTTTTTACTGTCAGTATCATTAGTGTTTATTTTATTTTATCATATTTAGTATGATAGTATGGGCATACATAATATTATCAAAAGTGAATAATCTTTAGTTTCGTTTTTCGCATGTATCCAAATAATTTATCTGAATTATTATTATTATTATTTTTTTTTGGTCAAAATTTATCTGAATTATTTATCCATCAATAAACACATACATATTTCTGTGTAAAACTAATTTTGTCTTTTTAATTGATTTTTTTTTTAAAACTGTTTTACAACAAATGCATCTAGAGTTCGAAATTTTGTACAAAGATTTTATTACATAAAATCGAAAAACAGAGCTAATAAGGACTCTGTTTAACAATCAATAATAACGTACATTTTATCCAAAAATAATAATTAATATTGATTTTTGGTCAATTCATTTGTATGATCGGTTAAATTTCAAAGTATATTCAATAATTTTTTGATGGAATGTATCTTAAACCCTTTTAAATATATATATATATATATATATATATATATATATATATTTTAAAAGTTATTGCCAGTAGTACTGCCAAATGCATATTCACATTTTAAAGATAATAAACTAGTATAAAAATTTGAGTGTATTCACAATAATTATAGATTTCCATACTAATTGGGTCCCCTCGTCAGTTTGAGATGGTCCCCATCTTCTATATTGTGTTTCGTAGGTAATTAAACAATACTCCTTTCGAGACCATTAGCTAAGCTTTGGTTAATCAAAGCATTAGTTGGACAAGTATAGCAACAGATTCATAGTTTCAAGGCTTTTTGTATCCTATATTGCAAACAATAAGCAGTCTAGCTTTAGGTTTGCGTCTACCCGACAAGTGGCACTTTTTCTCTTTGTAGACCTTTTCTAATTTTAGATATTTATGCATTTAGTAATTAAAGAAAATATTAATAAAGATTACTAACGCAGTTTTTGTTAAACGCATACGAGAAGTCCTTAGGAGCTAACGAGAGCACTGTTTTAGCTGAAATATTATCTTCGGGGCCTAATCTAATTTGAAATATTCCGTAACAAAAATTTGTTAATATTTACTTGACAAACCGTTGTTCCTACGCACATATGTGTTAAGAAAATGTCAACTATATACGATACATGTTTTTTACCCAAATAAGTAAGATGACGCCAGATGGTGGTGGCACATGGCTTACCAACTTACTATGCCTTGGATAGTGTACAAGTTCAAAGCTCAAGGGTTTTGGCTTTTGAAGTCTCCAAAGAGAATCAATTTCAGATGCTCAAAAATCGTTCTTTATTTGTTGGATAGATAGAAAGATGTACTTGTCTTAGTAAATAAATACATTAAACTAAAGGGTGTAGATTGGTTAATTATCCCAAAAAGATATCATTAAATAATGTTCCAAGATTAGATGAATTTTATCTTAAAAGATGAATATTTTAATACATTAGAGTAAACTATTCAAAAATATATAACAACATATAATTTTTTTAGAGTTTCTGACCAAATTTGATTATTTTCACTAAAAATATTGTTTTGTTAACCTTGTAATATAACCTCGTAAATTTAAGTTCGATATGATTATTATTATTTGTTTTGCTATGAGTTCGATATTATTCAGGAAGAATAATTATCAATAATGTGACTTAGAAGATTCATTATTTACCAGAAAAATGTTTAGCATCTAAGTTTCTATATTGTGGATCTTTCTACAACTTTATGATGGATACTAAAAGGACTTTAAGATATTTTAAAAGCTATTAAAATTCATCCAAATCATAAACTGATCGTAATAGTAATTTGGTATGTTGTTTACGAGCTAGTGTAGTTTCACGGCATATTTTTGATCATTTATTATTTCCACACACATACACAAAAATCTCTACTCATTGAAATATATTTGACTGATGCTTAATATTGCAGCAAACCACATGAGAGCGAAACCACATATTTATAATTTGTTAGGCTAATCTATATATTAGTGATTTAATTAGTATTATTTGGGTGGTTTCGAAATTTTGGAGAATAGGGATTAGTGAGCAGGTTGAAGCAAAACAAACAATGGACTGGTTTCCGGTGTTCAGTTTTCATTAATAATTAAACCAATTTTGCATTTATCTAAGGCGGTATTTCTATTTATAGCCTTAAGATTTTGATACTATTCCTAAAAATAGAGTTACACAACAAAGCCCTTTCCAATTAAGAAATCCAAACCCTAGTAGTACTTGGATTCTTACATCAACATACTTAGTGTTTTTTTTTCCTTCTTTATTCTAGGGTTTCATCTATCTAATATTATTTAAGAGTTTTGACAAGAAAAGAGAAAAAGAGTATTGTTTAATGGCTTTGGCTTCAATTTTGTTGAAGAGACCTGTTTTATGGCTCTCTCTCCTCGCTCCTCCACTACTTCACATCTTTGGCCTTCGCTTCTTACATCTCCTCATCACTTCTACTGCTTTGTTCATCTCCTCTTTGTTCTTCCCAATCTTACTTCCTCATTCTTCAATCCAGTCAACAAAACAAGAAGAAGAACAATATCAAGATCAAGACTATGTTGCCGCCGAAGATATCACCGGCAAGTCGGAGGACTACCTCGGACTGACTAATAAAGAGGATGAAGACGGCACAATCCCTGATGAGGAGAGCCTCTTTGAGCTGTCTTTACCGAGTGGTCACTACGTAGGTCATCACCACACTAGTAACAAGAACAATCTCTATATCCACAAAAAAGTCCAAGATTTCAAACTCTTTGATCTATTCAACGATTTCATTGAAGAGGATAATCTTATCGAAATTGACATCTCCATCGGATGCATCAAGTATTCAAGGTTTGAGATCAAAGCTTGATGAATTTACATTTAATGCTTTCTATACCCTTTTTTTTCCCCTCATGTGGGGATTTCGTATAATTGTTAAAATTCGGAGTGTATAGTTCTTTTTGCACTTCACTGTGCTCTCTGTTTTGTGTTATGCTGTTAATTAATTTGGTTTATGAATTACTTAATGCCTTTTGTTATAATTATCTACTCTACTGCGTAAATCTCAGTTAAGTTTACAGTATTATCATCTTACTAATTACCTGTTATCACAACTCCATTTTTTATTGTCCTAACGGAGTAATTAAGATTGATTAATTTACGATTAACAAGTCAATACTTTAGCTATTGCGTGATGGACCATGCTACGATACACAGAAGATTTCAATCAAAATAATTAGTAACCTCTCGAAGTTTCCATAAATCAAGTGGTATTTCCTGTGTGATAAGACTTTGACTTTCGCTTTCACAGTTTTTTTTTTTCGAACGGATAATGATTTTTTAAAACAAAAACAAAAATATATAATTCATACTATTTGTTTGTCCGCATATAATTCATGCTTTATTAAGCAAATATAGAATTTTTAAAAAGTGTTAGTGTTGACATAATTTTTTTCTTACAATTTATATATTATGAATGCTATTGACTAGATGGAATACTAGCCTCGGATTTAGATTTGGTCAAAATTTAGTCGAAAAAAATCAGAAAAATGCATTAACAAGAGCACTTCTATATCTTAAAACTCTGGATGGATCCTGACTCCTGAGTTTCAGACAAACACAATGCTGGCATTGGATGCACACAATATGGATGACATCAAACGCATAAGCACCCATACTTATCACTTCCAGTTCAAAGCCATTTGAAGAGCAGTAGATGTTGAAGCTGATGTTGTAGCAAGACATGCAAGATTCAGTTACAAAGGATCAAATGTTTGTGTTGGTAAGAGATATTATAGTTAAACAATACAATCAAATATTTGGTAGCGTTTCACTTTTGGAAGGCAGGAGACAGTGGACTAAGTGAAACAGAAACATTTTTGGAAGAGAGAGGTGGAGTCTTCGTCACACTCTCCGTTGAGGAGGTTGTCGTGGTCGGTTCTGCAGTAAAGATAGCTTTCCTTACCAGAAGCAGTCGTAGTGAGGACAGTGGAGAAACCTGCGTACTTCTCCTTCTCCTTAGACCTCTTTAGGCATATGTTAGCCATGTACCTGAACAACTCTTTCTCCTGGTTAAAGGGTTGGTTTACGTATTCGTCAATTGGCATCCACTGAGAAAACCCACAACAACAAGAGTGTTGAGCCGTTAAAAATATCTAAAGTAACTAAAACCAATAACAAGATTGTCGAGATATATAACATGTTTGATTACCTTAGCATACAAGATCTCAGAATCTTGTTTCTTGATTTCAATATTGCTTGGCTTCAACTCGCAGAGGAAAAATATATCTGTTTTTTCTTCCAAGAATGATTGGTGGCTTTCCCTGCGAGACACCAACAATAAGATATCAAGATTAAACCGGTCAGAAATGTACCTAATAAAGAAGGGATTAAACAATAAGATGTCTTTTGGTTTACCTGAAAGCCAGGACTTCTACAAATTTTGTCTCAATCTGAAACAAAAGACCAGAACAAAACATGAATATTAGATTACATAATCAATACAAAACTCTAAAACTATAAATGTGATACATACACCAGTTTCTTCTTCCATTTCCCTAACTGCTCCAGCCCAAATACCCTCACCCTGTGGATTTGGATATTTTCAGTTAGATTAAATATGATATCATAGGGAGATGCAGAGACATATGCAAATTAAGGGCTTTTGTTTTAACTGCTAATAAATATCAGTTGATAAACCAATGAGTTAGGAGTGTATGGAGAAAGCAAATTTGGCTTGGATTTGGGAAAGTTGGTTTATAATTAACACATTGGTTCTCTGCTTTTAGGTAAGTCTTGGTTCTATAGAAAATTTGGTTCACTGATTTTTATCACTGGTACTAAGATAAGATTACACACACACAAATGTGGCAAGATCCAAAAATGTTTTCTCAATTTGAATATTTTTCAACCATTAATATTCAATGTGATGGGCATAGAGACATATTAACTAATAATCTTGTTACCTCTTTGCTCTTGTTTAGGACAAAAGCACTGATCCCAATATGTAAGCATCACGTAATCTTTCTCGGCATTGTGGTATGTAAACCCTCTCTGACAACAAATCACCAAAAACAGAATGTGATCACCAAAGCTGATCAAGAGTCAATCCAAAACATTCGCCAAAACATAACATCTTCTCACCTTTATTGCAGTGTCAACAAGACTAGATAGCTTACTAGACAGCTTGATCCAAATTCCTTTCTTCCCCTGCAAATACATGTCCCAAAGTCAATGCCATTAAAATTCATGTTCAATGGAGCAAAACAAAAGCCAATACTCAGTGGACACCAAACTTGAAATGTTCTGTCTAAATTCAGAAGTTATATTAATCAAAGAAAACATTGGAAGGCTTAAATCTGAAGTGTGTCTGGTTTTAATACCTGATCTTTCCATGCCTTAAGTGAATTGTCCAGCTTTGCCTCAAAATCCTGAGCATCCATGGGTTCCATTTCCATCAAGTTCACCACAACACCTCCATAGCTATCTTCTTTTCCATTAAAGATCTTTTGAGCTCCACTGTCCATGCTGCAGTATCCAAAGTAAAGGGATCTTACCTGTGACAAGTCCACCAAGAAAGTCAACGACCCATGTTCTAGAACTTGAATCCCAATCGAGTTGTGATCCCAAAATCCAATGCGTGTATGAAGAGGTGATTAAGCAAGACACATACCTTGGAGAAAACTGAGTTATCGATAGGAAGAATTTGAGGAGTCCAATTCCAGGTTTTTGTAAACAGAAGATGTAATTAGCAGCCAATAGGACAAAGGCAAAGAGTGGACTTTTTGAAGAATCTCTAAATAAAAGTTGCATTCGACTTTAAAGTTTCAGGCTTTACCAATTTTTTATAAAAAAGTTTCAGACTTTATATGATAAGAAAGATTTAGAAGTCAGTGTTTGTTGTGCCATTGGTTGTACACTTCTGTACAATAAGCGGCGAACCAGTCAGGTCGTAGCATGATCCAAAAACCGGACATAGTTCTGTCTAATCTGGTTTATCTCGAATTGATTTGGTTTTAAAGAGAATGGTTCACTTCACTGTTGAAGACGTTCAAATCAATTAGTAAAAAGACATAAAAGGCCCACTAAAGGCCCAGATTCCGTGTCTCCGATTCCTCCTTTTTCGCCTCATCTCCACAGGGAGAACAGAAAAAAAAAAAGATAAAAGAAGGTGAAGGAAAAACCAGAGGAAGGAGACGACCACCACCACGAACCTCAAGCTCCTCTTGAATCTCTCCGGAAAAACCCATGGCAGTGCGATCTCTTTCTCGCTCTTTTCAATATTCTTAATTTTTTAATTGAATTTTTTTTTTTCTTTTCCTTGGGAATTCTTGTTTCTCCTGATTCTGAGCTCACATCTTTTGATTTCTGTTGATGTTCGTTCATGTGGTATCTTTTTTTTTTTTTTTGGAGCTATTCAGTAATTTTATTAAATCTCTGTTGAAATAGATTGACATCTCATTTCAAACATGTTTTAGCCGGATTTGCTTTGAGATTTACCATTTTCCTTTGTTATTTTTCTCTCTCGTTTTGGCTTAGTCATGGAAAATTTCGAAGCTTTTTGTGGTCTTTTGGTGAAAATTGAGTTTTTGACTCTTGGATCCTCTAATGGGTTTGCTTCCTTTTTGGCTATTATGTTGAGCTTCCTGATCTTTAATCTTACAAAACCGTAGAACTGCTGTTACTAGCCTGACAATTTAGAGTTTTCTTTCTTTCTTTTATGTGTCTCATTAAGCCTCTGCTCTCATAATAGGCTATTCTAGATAATAGACAAGAGAAAAAAGTCTTAGTAGCATCTTTGCAAGATTGTCTAAGAGCCAAATGGCTCAACACTGAAAGTTATTCAAATCTTGAACAGTACATAGTTGTTGTTGTCTGTGCATAGAAATTCTCTTGGTTATGCAATATCATCTTCTGGATTTCAATACTTGGCATATATGGCGTGCTTTGGCTAAACCTCTTGTCTATATTTGTTGGTTACGAGTTGTGTTGTCGTCGAGGCTTTTACACTGTTTACTTTTCCATTAAAAAACAAACCAATCATACAAGACAACTGTTGAGTATTTTGGCTTGGAAAATATCAATATAACTAGTATGGAAAGTTTTTAAAATAGATTTCGGTGCTAGTGGTGACTTAAATGTTTGGATCTTGGATTGTATGCAGGACAAGGGCCGTCCATTGCCAAAGTTTGGTGAATGGGATGTGAATGACCCTTCATCAGCTGAGGGATTCACTGTTATATTCAACAAAGCTAGAAACGAGAAAAAGGGAGGTGGAAAATCCGACTCACCAGGGAAAGATGAACCTGGATATAATAAAAATGGCCAAGTTCTTGGGAAGCCCACCGTAAGCCGCTGCATCTCTTCTTCTTCTTCTTCTTCTTTTTCTCTGAGTCATATCATAATATTATTTGCTTGATGTGAATTCAAGAAAAGTAAATAGTTTAATGATTAGCTAAATTATTGGCTCATTGATTGATCAGTGTCTTGTTATTGATGCTGTTTCTTGCATAATATTGCAGAAGAAATGGTTTTGCTGTATACAATCCACTCGCGCAGAATGAGAGTGTTGAGGGCTTCCCTCCTTGGAAGGTTCGTTTATCTATTATCTAAAAGTCATACTGCTTCAAGAAGACTGGAGCTTGTCTTGACAAGCCATGACAGTCACTTTCGGATTCTGGTCGGAGATGTTTTCGAGTGGTGTGTTTAGTGACTTCTCTTGGGTGCAACGATGAATGTATTAAGATAACAAACAATGTCGTTTCTATGTATTGGTGTGATGTGATGGGTTATGTTTATGTTCTTTCACTTGTGAGTCATGACGACATAATGTATTTGCTATGCTATCTCTCTGTTTTGATTTGGTTTCCTTGAAGCGATTTCAATTCAATTTATTCTGAAAATGTCTAAAACAAACAACATACAACAAATGTAACTAGAAAACATTTTCGGAGATGTGAAATTAGACGATGCGGTTTCTAAGTATGAGAAATGTTCTTGCCAAAAAGTCCAGCTATTCCTTTCTCAGGGTCGCTTTGCTTCACAATGGACTCACCAACCAAAACCTGTAAGAGATTAGAGGAAGACTGATTAAATGCTTGCAAATGTTTCTAAGCTGTGCAGCCAGAAGACATTTTGATGGATAGTTGTGAAAGCTTACTGCTTTAACTCCAGCTGCTTGTACATAGGCAATGTCGTCAGGTGTAAACAGACCGGATTCACCAACCACCTTAACCCACACAACAGAATCATCATGGTCAGGACTCAGGATGATGTTCCAGCAATTGAAAAGACACCAATTAAAGATACTTACTATCATGTCTTTCTCGCGGATTATTCTACCATGCTTTCCTTCAAGAAGCTTCTTTGTGTTACTAATGTCCACTTCAAATGTTTCTGAAACACCAAAAACTTCTACTTGTGAGACTCTAACTCAACAACCAAACTTTCCAGAACAAGACTCACATCCCTGTGAACTCGTTCTATGACAAGAGATATCAACATTACCAAGACTGCGGTTATTGATGCCAACTAGCTCGATTCCTTCTATTCCAAGAGCACGACCCATCTCACTCTCATCATGTACCTAATAGAAAGCCAAACATTTTCAGAGCAAAACGTAAAAGGAACACTAACTTTCCATCGTTGGTGAACACTAACCTCAACAAGTGCAGCCAAACCAAGCTTCTTGCAGATCCCAAGCAAGTAGGTGATTTCTAGGTCAGTCAATACAGCAGCAATAAGCAAAACTGCGTCAGCGCCTTTAGTTCGAGCATAGTAGATCTGCCATGGATCTACAACAAACTCTTTGCATAATAGAGGACACTGCAACAATCGAAAAGCACAGCTTAAAATCGTCTTCATCATAAAAGCACAAAAGAGCAAAACACAAGACTTTGCTAAGAGAATACCTTCACACCAGCCCTCCTTATTGCTTCCAAGTTTTCAAAGCCTCCCTGTCGAACCAAAATCAATATAACAAGTATAAATGTCAAGAACTTGTCGCAAATGTGTGTAAGATATCTGCAACTGAATACACATAAGTGAACCTTGAAATACTTCTGGTCTGTCAAAACACTGAGACATGCGGCACCTCCTCTTTCATAAGATTGCGCAATCTCAACCTGTAAGATGATAAGCATTAGCAACACAGCAAGGTGGATCATGAAAAGACATTGCAGGTCAAGACATAAGAACAATAGCTTGTCATATCAAGAACCATTCAAAAGAAAAAAAAAACGCTGATCCAAAACTGAAAATGACAAAGACTACAACTTCCTCAATGTTCTAAATCTTTTATCCATTAAAGAATCAACCTTTATTCAGCTCAACCAGAATCCAATAACTCAATTCAAGAAGACGTTCTTTGTCACATACCGGGTCAAAATTCTCTTTCAAGATTCCTCTACTTGGAGAAGCCTTCTTAACCTCAGCGATCAAACCAGGGAAGCCAGTTCTTTGATGAGCCGACCTAAGCGCACCGACGAAATCCCTGGTTGGAGGAGCATCCTCTACAGCTTTCTTCAGCAGCTCAAGTGGGTTTAGTTCCTTCATCCGAGAAACTTCTTCGTCTTTGTACCAAGTAATCTCCTCCAAGATGTTACTTGGAGATGAATCAGCATTATTATGGAATCTCAGCTCAAATGGTCCAGAATATTCTAATGGAGCCTTGACTGGTGGTTTTCTCCTGATCCTGATACCTTGGCTAATAGCTATTTCATTCTGATACATGTCTACTTCCCATTCCTTGATTCTAAGATCATTTTCTACTGATGATGAAGAAGAAGAAGCAACAACACCTAAGCTTCCCATCTACAATTAAAAAGGCAAATACTTTCAGGCACCCAGCTAGGGTTTAGAATCGAAACAATCACAGGATTAATTCACCAATTATAAAATTTTGTTTATGGGGTTTTCATAGAATCAAAGAGAAAAGGGGAAAAAATGTCGGACGCACCTGTTGAGCCCGGATCGGGAGAAGGGAAGGAGCCCTGAAATTGATCCTTTTGTCCATGGCAAAACCTGAAACCGAACGTCTGATCGAGACAGAACCGGGTGAAACCACTCTAACTGAAAGTCTTTGTCCGGCAGTTTGCAACGGAACTAGTGCCTCCATTGCCGGAAAACAAAAAAGGTTTGAAATTTAAGGGAAGGATGAAATTTTGAAATGCTTTGGGGAATTTACGAATGGTCAAACTAAAGATTTATAGAAGCAAATTTCGAGAAAGAACAAATATTTTTGGTAGTTGGGTGATTAGCCCAAACACGTGGGTTAATATTATAAACAACACCAACGTTAAGACGGCGAGTTTCTGCGTTGGTTGGTGAAAAACTGGCCTTGTGGTTCAGCGTTTGATTGTCACAAACAAACTTTCTGTCAGAATGTGAATTTTATTGCATTGTATTACATTTTACATATCGTTTTTGTTATGATGGTTGTATAGATCATACAATATACCCTTCTGAGTTCTGATTGTTTCGGCGGAATCTGTGGACTGGAGATGGAGTTTGAGCCAAAGAAGTTTGCTCAACTATTGGAAAAAATTCAAGGTGATCATTGCCTACTAGCTCTAAGTCAGATTATGGAGAATGACAAGGAGAGCAATGCAAATCGAGAGGCTTTAACATCGATAAGGAAGAGAGCTCGAACAACAAAGACTAGTGTTGTTGTTCCTCCTCCTTTCGATTCTATGATGAATGATACTAGTTTCCAAACGAAACCTTTGGTTCAACAAGGCTGCTCGACATGTGGATCTCATGACTCTAGTGAACCCACTTAGATGCTTCTCCCAAGAGTCAAATCTTTTTGTTGCGGTTCCGTTTCATGTTGTGGATACAATCCTAGAGAAAGATGAAAAGGAAATGGAGTTTGAATCGATGAAGTTGCAGAGTTTCGTGAAGGGGAAGGCCCTTTTTGTGTCGGAACTTGGGGCTCTTGCGGATAGTGTTCCTCCAGCCAGTTATCAGAGCGTTAGTGCCGTTAAAGGACAAACCTTTAGTTGATTAGAGATGAAAGGAACAATGTTGGTTTCGGATGATTTGACCTTTAATACAATGTTGGTTTTGTCTTTGTGGTTTAAAGCCGAGTCTACTCCTCCTTTTCGCTGTGCCAAAAAATAAAAAATAAAAAATAAAAAATTCTCAAACTAGTTTTGTTTTTCTTTTGTTTCTTTGTCTAAAACAAACCTCTTCGAGAAATTGGAGGACGAGAAATCAGAAAATGTTGGAAAGCATTGGCCTCATCTCCTGCAACTTCTCTCGTCTTCCTCCTCTAAAACCCTCGAGACGAGCCCAACCCCTAAGAGAATCCCGAAACATCATTGTTGTACAATCAAGAGCTTCTTCTTCACTTTGTCTGAAATCTGACAAAACCATCTTTGGCATCAACAATAGGCGTTTCCCGAAACACGAGAAGAAGCGTTTCTTCCATGTCTGCAAAAGCTCACTAAACAACCCAGATCCAGAGAAAATCGAAACACAAGATGGAGGAAGAGATTGGACGAGCTCTGTATTGCTTTTCGCGCTCTGGGGTGCGCTTTTGTACTATTGCTTCAATCTTGCTCCTGATCAAACACCAGTACGCAACAATCTTCTCTTTTTCAATCCCTTCAAAATTTTACTAGTCGAGTTTATAGATTGGTGAATTGTCATGTTATTTTGCAGACACAAGACTTGTACTTTCTGAAAAAGCTGCTGAATTTGAAAGGTGATGATGGTTTTCGAATGAACCAGATACTTGTTGGGTTATGGTACATAATGGGTTTATGGCCTTTAGTATATGGCATGCTCTTGCTTCCCACAGGTCGAAGGTAAATCATCAGTTTTCAATGGCTTCGTTGTTGCTGAGTTTAGAGAGTTATGTGGCTATGATTTTATGATCCCTTTGGTTTGTTTGGACAGTAAGACCACGGCTTGGCCTTTCGTCGTGCTTTCGTTCTTTGGTGGTGTCTACGCTTTGCTACCTTATTTTGCACTGTGGAATCCTCCTTCTCCTCCTGTTTCAGAGGCTGAACTTAGTAAATGGCCTTTGAATGTTCTTGAATCAAAATTAACTGCTGGGGTAATTCTCTCTCTCTCTCTCTCTTATCACAGCTATTCTCAAAATGGTCATATCCACATTTCACCTGGAAATCAGAGCAATTACTATTTTCTCCAAGCATGTAAATTGGAACCACCATTGAGCATATACTCAGCACATGAACTTAGCTAGATCGCTGAATTTAGACAAAGAAAACAAAATGTTGAAAAGTTTCCTATTCATTGGTTGGATTATATCTCTTGCCTTTTGGTTCTCATTTGTGGAAGTTCCAATCTATGTGCTTCAAGGATGTAAATTGGAACCACCACTTGAGCATATACACAGTGTATGAACCTAGCTAGATCGCTGAATTCGGAAGGAAACGAAAACAAAATGTGACTATTCATTGGTTTACTTATATTTCTTACCTTTCGGTTCTCATTGCTGGAAGTTCAAATCTATTTGCTTCAAGCATGTATTGGAACCACCATTGAGCATAAACAGTAGCTAGATCTCTGAATTCAGAAGGAAAAGAAAACAAGGTTTACTCGCTTATATGTCTTTGCCTTTTGGTTTTTCATTGTTTGATATAAGTATAACACAGTTTTATGCATCAGGTCACTCTTGTTGCAGGACTTGGTATAATCCTATATGCACTAGTTGGTAATGCCGGTGACTGGAAAGAGTTTTGTCAGTACTTTCGAGAGAGCAAATTCGTAAGCCCCTCGATTTATCTCTCTCTCTCTATATATATATATATGCTCGTTGATTCCCGGAAATGAAATCATCTTTTTGCTCATGTTTGTAAAATGCAGATTCATGTCACGAGTCTTGATTTCTGTTTACTCTCTGCGTTTGCTCCTTTCTGGGTTTACAATGACATGACAACCCGAAAATGGTGAGTCCTATATGAAACTTATTTACGGTGTTTCCCTTTTCCCTAAACGCGTTGCTTTATTTTTCAGGTTTGATAAAGGCCGTTGGCTTTTACCAGTCTCCGTGGTGCCATTCTTGGGACCTTCTTTGTATCTTCTCCTACGACCAGCATTGTCAGAGACAACAGCTTCCGCAGATTCTGCGTCATCCGACACAAGTCAATAGCAACATCAAATTGGATTGTCCAAAAGTCTGAAGAAGAAAGGTTTATCAGAGTCTCCGACTCAGACACCATCAAATTTCTGGTGAGGACCGTGAGGTTAATATCTGCATGGAGTAATGATTCACTTTATTCTGTAGCTCCATTATTGTATTAAAAAGGGAGAAATAAACTCCTCGTGATCAAAGTTTACTATAGATATTTAATGAAAGGAAAGTCAAACTGAAGTTTTGTCACAAGTAATATAGAAATATTTTTTAGGCATACAACTTGTGTAGTTCATCTTTGAACTTGGACTTTATCTGCTCCCTCTTTATCTTGAGAGCAGCTGTGACTAATCCTGACTCTGGTGTCCATGGCTCCGGCAGCAACTTGATCTTCGCTGGAATTTCAAACTTTTCGAGCTTTGCCGCCTTTGCAGCCTGAGAACGATAACATTTCGGAACACATTTTAGCAGGTTTCGTAACTGTGGGCAAAAAACAGAGATTTCAACTGAAATAACAAACCTTGATAAGCGATTGTTGAACCTCCTTAACTGCTTCACCGTTCTCGCAAAGCTCAGAGATGTCGCTGTGTTTGACTCCAGCTTCCTCTGCCCATTTCTGTAATGCTCCTTGTGACGGAACAACAAGAGCTACACAGTAGCTGTTCATTGGGTCCGCATGTACCATTATGTTATCGATGTAATTGCTCGAACCTAAAGCTGCCTCTACCTGTGAATTGTGATCCACTTAAATTTTATCATTACCATATCCTCCATTTTAGATGCGTTTTAAAGTTTTAATGGACAAACCTTTCCAAGGGATACGTATTCCCCGTGTTGAAGTTTAACGATATCTTTCTTCCTGTCAATAACTTCAAGACATCCATCAGGGTGGAATCTCCCAATATCTCCAGTGTAAAACCACCTCATGCCCTTCTCATCAACCTGAAAATTTGTCATGTTGATCACTTGATCCTCAGAAATCTATACAGCAAGCTGGATAACTAAGCTACCGGTATGTGTTTTTACCTTGTAAACCTCATCGGTTTTCTCTTGGTTGTTGAAGTAACCTGCTGTTACACTGTTACCACCTACCACAATCTCCCCTCTAGGCATTGGTTTGTCTGAAACTCTGTATCCACCTTCTTCCCAAGAAACGAGCTGCAAGAAAAATCTTGATGAAGCTTATTACTCGTGATTACAACAAAGTGAACGAAGATAGTTGACTGCAAAACCTTAATGTAGCCGCATGGCACTGGAGGTCCCACGCGCCCAACAGCAGGGTCGTCCCACTCAGAAAACGTAGCTCCAGCACACGTTTCAGTCAATCCATATCCTTGACCAATAGGAGCCCTAACGCAAAACAATGCGCAATCATTGTGAAGTTGCTAAGAAGAATATACAGACAAGCACAAACTACATGCGTTTCAACAAGCAAAAGACATCGGATTCAAGTTCAAACATACCAACGTCACCAATCACTTAAAGAAGAAAAATACAAACGATTTCAATGGCGTTTGCATTAGCCAACTTGGCACAAGACTCGTATTCGAAGGTAAAATAAGAGACGACAAAGGATGATTCTCTTACCCCATGCAGATATTGATGAAGCGTTGCGAATCAGGAGACAGAGGAGCCCCACCGCAGAGCATAAACCGGATGTGTCCTCCAAGCACAGCGCGTATTTTTTTGAAGACTAGAGTTTCCCAAAACAGTTTCTCCAAACCCCAAGCACCAAACCAACTTCCATCCACAGCTGCTAACCGGCGCTTGTATGCAATATTGAAGAGGGTCTTCGCCATCCCTCCCTTTTCCTCAACCTAGATTATTAGGTACAACTGATCTAGTAAGTAACTACAAAAATACGCACAACATCGTTATCCTAAAGATAAAGATGGTACCTTTTTTAGAACTCCTTCTCGGACACGATCCAGGATAGCTGGAACTGCAGTCATGATGGTTGGATTTAGAACTGAAACATCTCCTTTGGTTCCTCTCTTGATTTTATTTGAAGTGTCAGTTAAAGTCATTGCTGAACCATATCCGATGGCACAACCTGAGGTAAAGACCACAATCTGACAAACCACGATTTGGTAAGAAAGAGTAAGACAATAAGGTACCAGATCAAAAGAGAGAGACACAGAGAGGTAGAGAGCACAGCAACATACCTCAGCTTCCAGCTCAAACACATGAGCCAAAGGTAAGTATGCAACATATGTGTCATTCTTGTCCAGCTTTGGAATGACCTTCATAACTCCTGCAGCAGTTGCGACAAGATTTCCATGGGTAATCATAACTCCCTGAGTTAATCCGCACAAATGTAAGGTTAAAATAATAATTCAGAAACCAAAGGGCACTTGATACAAAACACATAAGATACAAAACACATAAAGAAGAGAGAAGACACAGTCCAAACACACACCTTTGGCAGACCGGTACTACCACTGGTAAACATTATAACAGCAACTCCATTCTTCGAAGGTAAGCTCGGCTGAACAGGGCTACTCTGCCCTAGTTTCTCAACTTCAGAGATGGACGAAACAGTTATGTCACCAAGACTCTTGTAGTCATCAGAATCAACATCTACTCCATCTTCTTCAATGTAAATAATGTTCTTTACAGTTTTCAAGCTCGATTGTATCGCAGACAATTTCTTAAGTTGTTTCGAGTCGCATATCAAGGTTGATACTCGAGTCTGTCAACAATACAGTACCAAGATTCAGAGGTAAAGCAACAAAAGAAAAGATTGATGCTGAACAGAACTTCTATACAAACCTCATTGAGTGAGTAAATCAAAGCCTCCTCTCCTAAAGAAGCATAAATAGTAACAACTGTTATGCTCTGCCTGAAACATCCCTGGAATTTGCAAAAACAAACACCATTTTCATCAACTGAGCAAAGCCTCAAACAAAAAATTTCAAAACAAAACTTGATGAAACCTGAAACGCGATGAACCACTCTGCTCGAGTATCCGAAAAGATAGCGACACGAGTATCAACACTATGACCAACATTGACAAGCCCTGAAGCGAAATTGCAAACACGTTCAAAGACATCTCCATAACTCTGCCACCGATACTCACCGAGATGAAGCTTCTCGAACTTTCTGCCATCACTAGCCGTAACGATCTCTTTCTCTATAAACTCTCTCGTCCCAAGCAACCGATTGTTCGTGTACTTTTTACAAGCCTGCTCAAACAAAGCAGCAATAGTTGTAGCTCCTGGCCATGGAACCTCAACCAAATCAGGACCACGAGCATGGCGCATGGCGTAACCTTCCTCGCCGCCTACTTTCACCGGAACGCCTCTCTTCTTCCCCTTTTTGTTCCCGGTCAACACCACGGAGAGTAAAACCGGTACTAGTAAAGCCACGATTCCGCCACCGATGATCCCGTAAACTCCATATTCACTGCTTTTAAATTTCTCCAGAAACGATGATGAAGCCATTGAATTCCCTCCAGGATCTTCCATAAGAAAAGCTACACGAAAGACAAACAATTACACTATCATAGTGCACAGCGATAATCAAACTAGATCCGATGATTGATCGATCGACAAAATTCAGAATCGGCAGATCGCAAAAGCAAAAACAGAATTCAAATGAAGAAGAAGAAGCTTGAGGAATCGAAAACACGTCGAGGAATATTGGTAAACCTTCGTGAAACTCGAATGGATCGGAAGTTTTTTCTTGCAGAATTTCTTCGAATCGGGTTCCAGGAAAAAGGGAAAGTATAATCTTCCGATTTTTTGAACTTTGAAGAATTTTCAAAGCTTTGTGGACTCTGTCGTTTCTCGGGAAGCCGTCGTTTCGGTACGGCAATCGCCACGTGGCTGTCGGCAGATGGAGGGACACGTGGAAGTCGGTAAATGGAGATACACGGGGATGCTCTTCCGATTGAATTAGTAGATGCTAAGCTCGTCTTAAACATATAAATCAAGTTTAAAGTGATTTTGAATTTGATATACATTAATTCTGATTTTGGGGTCTAACTTTAAAATAGCCTTCTCGGTTGTACTAGGCCATATGTACATATGTTTCCCACAGTTACAGTATATCCAAAACTCGATATTACCCCGAACCGATTTTCTTTCGGTTCCAATATGGTTTCTAAACCCTTAACCCAAACTATCCAAAACCGGAAAAACCAAACCAAATACCGGAATATCAGCTCTAGATCTACTCTTTGATGGGTTAGTTAAGTAATACAACGAGTTAGGCCACCCCAAAGGTTTAATGATTTTGATGAACAAAGACTCTAATTATGATTCCTTTTGATCAAACATAGCAAAATCCAGATAGTTTTGCCACTTTATTACCAGCCAGTGTCACATATGTTCAGGACCAAACACAGATGATACACACAAAAGAACTCAGGAAAATGCAATAGTTCGGGTTTCGCAGGAAAACTGATAACTCGGGAAAAAAATCATGAGAATCTTTCAACCATGTAATTACCTGGTACTTGAGGCTTAATTCTGCAAGTAGTTGTGATTCATCTCAAGTTTCGCAGCTTCACAAAGACAATAAGAATTGACCTGTTGTTTCGATCCATGGCACACAATCTTGCAGAATCCAGATTAGTTTTGCCACTTTATTACCAGTGTCACTAATATTCAGAACCAAACAGATGATACACACATAACAACTGTTCTTGGACTACCAGATTCTCAGGATATATATATCTCTCTATTATCTCTATTGAATTGAAGAGAGTTTATGGAAAATCAACTGGAACCGCGACGAACACTTTCTTCGGTTCGTGCAAACGCATTAGTTAGCACGTCTATCGTCCAGTTCTTCAAGTCATCCTGATGAAAAAAAAAAACGAAAACGAAGCAAAGTGTTAACACCAAATGCCGGTTTTTGATTTAGCCAATATGGTTAAAAGAGTCTGATGATTCAATTACCTTGCGCACAGGCTCTCCAGTTCTTATTTGTGCGTTTGGTCGAGCAAGCTTGGACTCAAAAGGGGTTCTTGGCCTTACTTCTCTAAACTCATCCCACTCCTCACGTTCGATCATTCTCACCGTGCCTTGTCCCGGTGGTGCATTCTTTATCTTCCGTTCAATCATTTCTTGTGATTTCGAATCATCGATCTTTTTAGCAACAAAGCAACAACGAAGAATCAGAGAATCAGCATGAAGCATAAAAAGCAGCATCACAGATCATTGTCAAGAAGGCTTTACCATCATTAACACTTTTGCAAACAATGCAATACCGACCACAGCGAGGAACATTGGCGTCGTTGCTGTGTCCAAATACGATCTTGATTCTGGAACCTCGACAAGAAACTGGTTCTTTATCGGGTTCCTTCGCTTCTTACTCTTCTGCAACTCAGTTATCTTCTTCCTTATGGTCTCCGTTGGAGCATCACTAGACGGTGAATGAAACCTTCTCTTAAGCAATGTCAATAACTGATTCTGCCGAGACATCGTTAACCAGCAACAACGATCTCTTCTTTCTTTGCAAAAGATAAACAAAAAACACAGCTTAGCCAAATTGGAATCAATGAAATAATGGAACTATAAGCACGATTCCAACACAAACATCAAGCAGATATTAACTTTCATGATCATACTAAAACTAATCTCGTTGTGCAGATCCAATTGCGACCTACTCACTGTGCTATACTTGGAATTTCACATGACAATGAACTGAGTGACATTTTCACTCCAAAGAACCACTAATTTCCATATCTGGAATGTAAATAAATTTCGCTACGGCATTTCGACGAACACTTTGCGTGCAGTTTTTTCCTCGACATGACACATACGATAGATTCAACAATTTGCGCTACAAGGATTAAAAGGAAAATCGAGATAGGTGCACCAGAGAAACTTGCATTCGAATCAGAAACTTGCATTCGAATCAGAAACTTGCATTCGAATCGAGAGAGGTGCACCAGAGAAGTTGATGATTAAATCCGTTAGCGAGAGAGGAAGAGAAGGATGAAAGATTAGGAGATTTCAGATTTGTAGACGTACCAGATCAACATGGATTTAGGCAGCAAGATGACTGTCTTTACTCTTTGATCGCTAAAGACCTCTTCTTATTTGCAAGGTCTTAAAATCCCTAATGTTCGAACATAGAACTTCTAGTTTCTTTTTAGCACAAAAAAAAAAAATCTTGATGTTCTTTTAATTAGAAGAGCATATTATGTTCGAACATTAGGTATTTTAAGACCTTCAAAAAAAAAATCTTAATTGATTTAATATCAAAAAGATAACTAAAAATTAGCTAAATACAAATAGATAACTAAAAATTAAATATATAAGAAAGAGAAAACAAAAAACAACCAAAAATATCATTTTTTATTAAATATTTACACAAATGTTATTTGTCTAAAATTTTTGTCATCCGACAAAATATGTCGGTAACACTGTTCATCACTAGCTTCTGATGATATTATTCATCTCCTATTTTTTATCGACGGATACTGTTCATCATCAAAAAATTATATACACTTTGAAATTATGGTAGTTAACTATTTATTTAACATGATAACTATTATATCACGATAAATTTATATGATTAATATGATAATAATTATATATACATTGGATTCAGAATAATACGACAATGAACTTACATTTAGATAAGATGTTAGCTTTTAATAAATAACTGTTTGTTAACATGTTAATACTAATATCTGATACTTATAATGTGTTAACAATAATGGCTCTTTTAGTTTCATTCGCTGATGGTTATTCATTTGGTATATTGGTTAGTTTTCCATCGTAGACCACATCTATTCTGAAAGGCGATATAAATATAAGCTCTTAACTAATCGACTCTTTGGAACGGTGATCTCAGTAGCTCATAATAGTTTAATAAATATGTATTAGCAGGTGATTAACTGAGATAAAGTGTGATAGATATTTTTGATCATTTACGAAGATCATCTCAGTGGAGATTAAATTAGTCCAAAAGTACAAATCATCTGCAGAATCTTTAGTCATAAATATATCGTAATTAAAAAAAATATATATTGTAATTTATTTTGAATATGTGACAACTTTTTTTTTAATTGTTGTAAACTCTTTGATATTTTGGTTTTTTAAATAAAGTGTCATTTAACGTTAAAAAAATAGCTAATGTGGATTTCTGATAACGTAAAAAGTTCATGTATTTTTTGGCAAAAATTAAATAGTTGAGGGTTTTTTTAGCTTTTTCTTGTTTTGGAAAATAACGGAGTTTACTAATTCCGTTTGATTGTTAACGACCGTGAAATCGTGGGATAAAAACTAGAATCATAAAATATTTTAGGTAGTTTTTTGATTCAAAAGATTAATTCGTGTAGTTTTCTGGCAATGCAAAAAATTCAGGTATGAAACCGACAAATATTAAATAGTTGATAGTGTTTTTCAAGCTTTTTTCCCTAATATATAAGATATGTTAACGTGATAACAATAAAATATGATGCTTGTTAACATGTTAACAATATTATTTGTTATTTGTTAACATGCTAACAAATAATATATGATATTTGGTAACATGCTAACAATGAAACTAATACATGTTAATGTGATAATAAAAAATAATATTTGCTAATAACAAAAACTAATTTTTTATATCAATACGGTGACCATTACGTCATCACCAATGTCACCGGCACTGCACCATCATTATCGTCTACCAGCATAACCAACATGATGGTGGAGTCATTTTCGTCGTTGTTTCACTACAGTCGCCGTCGTTATAGCCGTTACCACTTTCACCGTGGACTATTGTTTTCATAGTGAATATCACCAATTTACACTTCAACCTTCCCCATCCTCCATCGCCTTTCTTCTTTTTTTTTTTTGACATCGCCTTTTTTCTTCTTTCCTTTCTTTTTTTCTTTTTTCATCACAAATAATTGAAGAACGAAAAAGAAAGATATGTAATTAGTTAAAAAAGAAAAGGATTAAATGGGATTTTACATATGAACAGTGGACGAAATCTAATTATGCAATTATCCATGAATATATATTGCTATTATTGTTTTTACAACCATAAATTAATAAATAACATAAATTAATAATTTTTTTCTATCTAGTTAGATCAGTTCCAAATATGATACAATTAGATAAAATAACAAGATAATATTTTTCACAAATTTTCAATTTAAATATATGATTCAAAGATAAAATATCATAAATTCATAATTATTTCATAAAAACTTATTCAAAGATATACATAAGATAATTTATTAAAATATGAATCTAGTGATTTTTTTTTTGAAAAATGAAAATATTTATGAAGTTTTTTTTTGCAAAACTTTATATACTTTTGGAGTTTATCTTTGATTTTTCTTATTGCATCAAAACTCTTGGTATTGTTTTCTCATATTGCATCCAAAATTTTGAAGAATAATAGAGACCATAATTGCTTTTTACACGTAATTGCTTTACATAATAAGATTTTCTCTGATTTTATTGTAAATTGTGTTACACTCCAGAAAACATAAAAACTATGTAGATATCAATAACACTATGCAATGGGCCCGGCATGGACCCCGATTTGATTAAGCGTGGTACTTGGCTTTTCCATGGGATCCGAAATCTTGTGATTTTCCTTTTCGAGTATTGAAACTGGTGGCGGCTTCGGTTCCAAAGGTTGGAGAGGGTCGCTTATTGGTCTTAAACCTAAGCGTGAGTATGACTGTGGGATCACTTTTATAAGAACCTTCATCTATGACATCGTAATTACCCTCAACTGATATCAGATATTCTTCATTCGGAGAGTCCTTCAACTCAAACTGCAAAATCAAGAAAATCCCTAGTTTATAGGTTGATCAAGAACATAATAACTTATAAGATTACTGAATTAATCACCTCATAAACTGCTTTGATCCCTAGTTTATAGGTTGATCAAGAACATAATAACTTATAAGATTACTGAATTAATTACCTCATAAACTGCAAGTAAAGTCTTGCCCCCATGATGATCACCAAGAACCAATCGATCGTCCCTGTAGTAAAGAAATTTGACGAATGTGATACCCAACTCGTTTTCTCCAATGTATATAAATCTGATACCATCAGAAACATCATCGTCCCAAAAATCTCCTCCATCACCACCTCTTGCTTTTATTTTCTCTGTATCAGGAGCAGGAGGCAGTTGACGAAAATATGCTCCAAGAGCCCAAAGCAAACCATTAAACCGTCCATGTAAACCAACAAGAGCACAACCTTTGCTCTCAAGCACGAATTTACTCTTAGTCTCGATTCCAAATGTTGGAGTGGTTCTCCCCTTTGATGTTTTGAAAATCAAAGATGAAACCTCCTCATCTGAGGTGTACAAAGTCCCCTCCACAGATGTCATATGTTCATTTGGATAGTCGACCTCAAACTGTAATTAGATAAAAAAAAAAATAATCATATAATTAAGCTAGTTAAGAACGCTAACATATTTGTGGTTCACGAATATTAGAGTTGTAGGAATCATGACCTCCCTTTCTTCTCCATATCCAACATTTGTCACTTTGCTTGTTCTCTCGTAGTTTAACATGAGACGAGAAAAAGAACCAAAAGAACCTAAACCTCTATCTAAGATACTATAATTATCGTGCAATTTTCTTACGCCCTCAATTGTACCTTCATCCCAAAGTGTACCTTTGGTAGTATAACCTTTGCATTCCAATTTAATAATAGGGACTGTTGTGAAATATGCTCTAAGAGAGTTTAGATTCTTCTCAGCATATCCATGAAACCCAATGATCTTCATCCCATTGGATGCTAGTCTAAACTTCTTACCTGTGTCATATCCCATCAAATCTGAATAAAAAAAATCATTTCTCTCATTTATTATTTACATGAGTGTCATGCTGGGGTGTTTCTCAAAAACACATATATAAAATGCTTGTTTTACTAAAATAACTATATGATATGCCATTAACATTAATTTTATTAGAGATTAGTTTTTATCAATTTTATATTTATTACTCAATATTTAATTTGTATAGATATTCTTTCTCTATCTATTTCTTATCAATATATTTATAAAAATTTAATATGTAATATTATTTATCTTACTAAACATTATATTTTTTATCTCATCTTTCTTTGATCTTAATTTTGTTAAAAAATAATCAAATTATCAATTTAATAATAAGAAAATCTAAATTTTATCATACATATTATAATTCATTTTTTCATATTAAAAGCAAAGTTTCTTAATTTGATGTTGGATCGGTTAAATAGAACATATTAATCCAATTTAGTATATTCAATGTGCAATTATATTCATATAATTTTAAAAAAATTTAATTATGAAACCAATAGTTATCTACCATATGCAATTGTATTAGAAAATAAATATAATTATAATAATTATTTTCAATTGTATAATCAACCTATAGATTTGCAATTATAAATTAGCTAATATTTCTATAGTTGTATTTATATACATTATATTTGTATATTTAAATAAAAAATTATGGTTAATATTTACTGTGTACATGGTGCGGGTAATCCCATAATATTCTAATTAAAAAGATTCACACATGTGACATGACTGAAAACTACAGCCATTTTAAGATGTCAAAATTGCGCAAATGTTGTTTATTTCATAGCCCAAAGGCAATATTTATACGTACAAGAGTTAAACTAATACGCAAGAGAAAAAAGAAATTGCAGAAAAATGTAATTATTAGTCCAATATAAGGCCTAAGGTTTCTAAGCTCTGCTTTGGTTTCTGTATATTTTTCTCTGATTTTAGTTTGAGATGAATTTTACACACCAGAAAACATAAGAAATAATAATAATACGTAGTTGAGATGAAGATAGGTGATGAGAAATTAAAGAAGATGATCAAACTTGCTTGAAAATGTTTCCATCGAGCTCATATCTATTATATGATGAGATCACTATGTAATGGGCAGGAGATGGACCCCAATTTGATGAAGTGTGTTACTTGCTTTTCCGTGGAATCCGACAATTTTGTGATTTTCCTTTTCGAGTATGAAACTTGTGCCTACTTCGGTTCCAAAGGTTGGAGAGGTTCGTTTATTGGTCTTAAACCTAAGCATGAGTATAACTTCGGATTCACTTTTATAATAACCATCATCTACGACATCATAATTTCCCTCAACTGATATCAGATATTCATCTGGAAAGTCCTTTAACTCAAACTGCAAAAACAAGAAAATCTCCAGTTAATAGGTTGA